TAACACTAATTGAATGTTTAGTCGAAATGGAAAGAATTAAAGAAAGACTCATGCACATAGAAATGAAACATATACCTCAATCAGAGGTTGAATAGAAGTAGATGAACCAACAGGAAGAGGATACCGATGTTAAAAGTGTGCTATTAAAAGCCATTTTGTAGAGTGGTCGTAATACCGTAATATACCGTATCCCACTGAAATTTGATGTCAAAAGAACTAGCAAGTGTCATGCAATAGCATAATCACCAATGCACCCGAGGGCTAGTCGAAAGGAATAAGAAATAGAAAAAAAGCATACATATGGCTTTGAAAACATACCTGCCTTGACATTGGCTTGAATATAGCAGCTGCCATTTAGACTTAAATTGGCAGATACAGGTTGAATTGAACTAACCATAGTTACCATACCTTTCACTTCTGGCCGAGGAAGAGCAAGTCTTGCACTGTAGGTAGAATAATATTACCCTAAGATATCTTATGTGTGTATTTTTATGATGCATTAATTAATATAAACACAAATAAACAAACTTGGAGTAATGAGATAAATGCTTTGCAAATTTTACATCAGATAATTCTTATTTTATGAAAAACTCATCACAAAATTGCACGCAATTCTTATAAAGATATTATGAAATTTTTATTTTTCAGTAACATATATCAAATTGATTAAAAAAAGTAAGGATTAAACGTGTCTTGTCACTGAGGTGCACAAATTGGTTCAATTACTGAGTAAACAATATGATTCATAGACTGAGTAAACAATATGATTATGCCAAAAATGAAATAAGGAGTATTTTGCTTGAACAGAAAGAAGATTTCAACCAAACAAAACAAATTTCTAAAACATAAACGTACAAAATCAAGGTTGACCAGAGACTCAACATAGGGAACCAGAGATTAACACATGGAATCAGGGATTCAACACAACAAGGATCGAGCACAAATTGGGCACAAATTTACAGTAACATAAAGCAAACAGGGTGAGGCTAACCTTACATTTATGAGCCTTGAATTGAAGAAGATGCTGACGGCGAGGGGTTGAAGAAGATGCTGAAGCCGAGGGCTTGAAGGGAAAGCTAATCGACGGCGAGGGCTTGAAGGAGAGGCTCCGTACTTTCGCTGGCGAGCTCGTCTGGGGATCGATTTTTCATTGGCGAGGGCGACGATTACCACTGAACCGGAGCATTCTTTGGCGAGGAGAGATGGCGGCAATGAGAGATAGGGTTAGCGGCGATGGCAGATTCCCAATTCGATGTAACGCTGGGAGATTCGAGAGTGGGGGATATTAACACATTACTCGTATTTTTTAAAAAATTATACAGCGGACATTTTTTAACCCGATGTTAAAGAATGGCGAGTAAAATGGTGCACCCGGGTACCAATTTTTTTTCGGGCGCGCACTTCTTCCAAAACAAAACACATAGGTTCTTTATTTATCCGCTGTGTAATGTGCGAGGTTAAATACCCATTTTGTAGTAGTCCGTATGATATACTCCCTCTCTCTCCTGATTCCCAAAATGATAATCTTATTTGATTTTTCTTTGTTAGTTTATAAATTCTCACCTCATTATATATATGGAATTTTTTTTATTTATAAATGTAATATTTTTAGTTTCGTTATGAAACATATTTTGAAATATTAAATTTTCATAAAATATACTACTCCCCCCGTCCTAAAATTAACCTTACATTTGACTTTTCACGGTTTCCAATGCAGCACTTTGACCATTTATATCTCCATTATTTTTATATGAATATATATATTATCTAAATAATATATTTCAAAACTATGTTTCAAAATGAATATATTGATACTAAATTTATATGAAAATTCAATATATTTTTTTCCATAATATACAGTCAAAGTTTTAAAACTTTGACTGCAAAAGTCAAAATGAGAAATTAATTTTAGGACGGCGGAAATAGTATTTAAATATAATTAATACTTCCTCCGTCCCGCTATATTCGTCCACTTTTGACTTTTGGAACTGTTCATCTAAGTACTTTGACTCATCAAATTCTCTCAATGTGTAAGCCTAAATATAGTCATGTGTGATCTTGTTTGATTTGTCTTAACATATAAATTATTAATATATAATTTCTATAATTTTTTAATATACAAATTACAAGATAAAATGGATTAGAGAAGTGCATTGGATGGTGTGCAAAAATGAAAGTGGACAAATATAATGGGACGGAGGGAGTATTAGTTAATGGTCAAACCGTCAAAATATTATACGGAGTATTAAAGATCGTGATTTCGAGACAGGAGAGTACCTATCTTTTGCACTCTTTCTAATTCTTTAACTCTTTCCAATTTTCTCTATCATGTGCTCTGTTCGAAAAATATTCTTCACATTTGACTTTTCTTGATCAAGGTTTTAAATTTTGACTCTAATTTGTTGGAAAAAATACATTGTACAATGATATGAATTTAATATCAAAATATTCTTTATGAAATATAGTTTTGAAATATCAAATTTTATAAAGAAATATATTTATATATAAATATTAAAATTAATGGTCAAAGTGTAATAGGTAGTATTAAAGATCGCAACACATCAAAGGGAGAACCTTTCTCAAAGAAGAGAGTAACTCTATTTTTCAACGGGCAACAATAAATGCGGAGTCTCTATTATGTGGTCGTTGTACCGGTTCCGGCTGCAACCATAATAGACTGGAATCTGGATGGATGGCACGTTAAACAAGCTAATGCTAATATAAGGCATGCAGCTCATCAATTCGGATCGCCTACATCGATCACCCGGGCCGGCCCCGAAAAATGAAAAAATAAAATTGGCACGGTCCAAAATTTACATTTTGTGTCCTATTTTATATTTTTAGAATACTTTTGCTTTAAAATTATTAACAAATTTAAAACTATGGTGCCTTAAATTTTAAGGTGCCCTGTGCGATTGGCCACTTTGCACACCTTCCGGCTTCTGGGCCTCCCATGTCGATCCATCACCTATCCACGCCCATCTTCATGATCGATTTCATCACCGGTCACCCATTGCATGCATATATGCAAGAAATGTGTAAATTCAATCCTCCTCTCCCCATTAATTACGGGAGACAGGTGCATGGCGCCCGCAGGGTAACAGTTTAATGCGCGCAGGGAATTGAAAAGGGTGTGGTGAGGGGTGGGTTGGCCATGGCGTGTTGTGAATAGAAAAAACATTTATTAGAAAGTAAATACGGAGAAGAAATCATTTTTGCCTTCTTTAGACAAAATATTTTTTCTTTAAAAAAATATTTTCAAGTAGTTAATTGTATAACATAATTGTAATGTTTTATGATATTTCCTATTTTTATTGTAATATCAATTTACTTTAATGAGTATCATCTTATTTTTAATAATTTTATATTGGTTTCTTTATTTTAAATAATTTTTACGTTTTTTCTAGATTTTAAAATTATTTTATTTAAAAAAAATTAATTGGAGCACTATTAGTTTAGGTTAATAATTTAAAAAAATGATTCTAGTAAGTTGACAAGTTGACGTAGGGAGAAAGACCAAAATAGGACTAAAACATTGAAAATATACCAAAATAAGACTTCCATGTTTTTATTCCCAAAATAGGACTTACATTACCAAACATGATCATATACGTTACCAAAAAAGTATAGTAATGTGCACATGTACATTACCACAATACAAAGTCACATTACTATAATGCAAAGTCCTATTTCAGAAAAAAAAACATGAAAGTCCTATTTTGGTACTTTTCTCTATGTTTTAGTCCTATTTAAGGTGATTTTTAGTTGACGTATGAGCACCGCTATTTATAGTATGCAAAGTAAGAGATCAGTGAAATCTTATGTGACGCTGATGTGGATGAGAGATGTGAGGTGGTAAAAAAAGTATATAGGTTATGTATACCATCCACCCTAACAAGCAAATTACCCCCAACATACTCTGTAGTGCGCCCATAGTTCATACTTCAAATACCCACCATGCATAATTGTATATGAGCTTCATCTGTAAATGAATAGAAATCCAAAACCTAAGTGACTAACTGCACTTCCAAAAACAAAAACGAAGTGATTATATGAAATCCTAGCACGAAAAAGACAAAAGAATTAGGCATACCTTGGCTTGAATTTGAATTTTTGCTATTTGGCTATGGCACCTTTATATCTTCAAGGTCCAAATAGGGTGGGCGAACGAGAATGTCCTTAGCGTAAAAAAGATGTGGTATGGTAGAATGGGAGCATAAACAATTCCAGTATGTATCCACCTTTTTTTTAAAGGAAAGTTATCCAGATATATGTTAATGCCAGATCAAACTATCCGTTAGCTAGAGGATCGTTATTGTTTAACCGGATGCCCAAATAGCACAAGTATACAACTTTGGCTTATTATTAATCAGAATGAAAGATTTGTATATTTTTGACAGATTGCTCAAAGGTTGAATTATTAGAGATAAATTTTTGGAAACTCTAATTACACAGACACAATCAATGTCCGAAAACAATAATCTCTCGGCCAAAAATACCATATGTCCCCTCCTTATTCACTTATTTTTTTCCATCTCTACCGTCATTTTTTACACTTATTTTTTTCAATCAACTTTAATTTTTTTGTCTCACTTTTTCTATCTTTTCAATCATTTATTTTACACTCTTATTTCAATAACTTTTTACACACTCTTGTTTCAACAACTTTTATGTCAAAGACAAAAGTAGAAAATCAATATCATTATCAAGTTTGTCTTAAAAAGTGCCAAATCAAACCGGTTTTTTAGTTTCGGAAACTAGAAATTACAAACATAGTGATATGTTAGGGCCAAAATGGGGCAGTGCCCAAACTGTCCGTGTAGATTTCACATCTTTTACGGAGTATTTCTGAGTGTAGAGTACATCACAAAGAAACACACACCTTGTAAGCCTAATTAGTAATTAGAGGGCCAAAATGAGAAAGCTGCATATATTAGGCACAAGTACAGAAACATCTAATGTTCTATCTAAATTCTTAAGTCTAGAGTAATAAGTCATTTACCCACAAACAACATTTTTTGTTTGATCTTATTAGCTACCCTACTTCATCATTCATCTCAACAAACACAAATGAGATAAATAAATAGAACCTAGGGGAGTTAGCATTGGGATTCTTTTCCTTATTCTCCTCTTGACAATGATGATAGGTTATAATTAAGTACATTTCATCCTTCAATTTTTACAGCTTTCTCAGACCGTGTATGACTGCTGAATTGCATCGCCATCAATTCCCTTGAGCTTCACCACGGATTCAACATGGCCCTTTAGCGTGTGTAGTTCCCTTAGCCTGTTCAAGAACAGAAATTATTATGAACCGAAACTGATGGAGATGACAAAATAGTTATTGGTTCAACCTTCCACTTAGAGGCAAACATTCTGCTCATATTGTTACCTAGCAACTTCGGCGCGGCGTTTAGCCTGCTCGGCGATTTCTGAAAGTTCTCTATAGCTCTTGTTTTCATTGAAGAGCTGAGATGTGTTTGGGTGTTGAAGACCATGCAATGTTCTTTGAGCCATTACCCACTGTGCCTCTCTTTCGCCCCGTCCATAATCCTTCTTAGATGTGAAAGCAGTCTGAAACAGTTTTCCAAAACACAATATTTCTTTTAATTGTTTCATATGATTCTGCTCAAATAAGGTTTTCAACACCATGCGAATCACTCAAATTCCATACAATATTTTGATTATAATTTATTCAAAAACCTCAGGCTGGAATTATGGTCAGTCTAGTGAGCACACAGCCACACACATATGGTAATTTCCAACAACTTTAACACTATGTTTGGTTCAAGGAATTTGAAATGGAAAAGAAAATAAATTGAGAAGGTAAACAGTTTTTCTTGTTTGGATAGAGAGGAAAAGAAAAGAAAAGTGGATAGAAAAGGAAATGAGAAGACAAAATATACTAAGAGGAGGAAAAATCAAATTCCTCCCATTTTGGCGAGGAAAATGAGAGAAAACCATTTTCTTTTCTTTTCCTTCCAAATGCCTTGAACCAAACATAGTGTAAGGGAAAAGGAGAGGCTAGGCTACATACCTTGCTGTTTAGCATATTATCCCATGCTCTACCGCTAAGAGCATATCGAATCGCAAACTTCAACACATCGAGTGGAATGTAGAAAAGTATGCTATAGATCCAGATCACAGCTGCCCAGCCCCAGCCAATGCCGCTTACTCTAGCAAATCCCCAGTTTGCATACACAGCAATCAAGGTGGCAACCTTATTAATTAACAGGAACATTATAAGATATGTTTAGATCTCAAAAAGAGGATTCTTTTTGTGTGTTTTTAAACACTTTAAACACTAAAAACATTTTACCAGTTGTGCGACAACAAAAGCAGCAACAAGCAAGAGACCGGGGCGTTCTACAAAAGACCAACTCCGGGACCTGGTGACGAAGATAAGAGCCTGACTCACGATGCTCACTTGAAGATACAAAGCTGAGTTGATCTCGGCGTAATTATCCCTGATTCGTCTAACATGGAACCTCTCCTGGTATAAGTTTTTAAAACAATGCATAAGGAATTATCAGAGTCAGAAGATGTCAATGTTGGTGGATGTAGGATGGTTGTTACCGTGAAGAAGTCAGAGTCATGAACAGCCCAGAAGAAGATGACAGTCATGACGGCTAGGTAAGTCCCAAGAACAATGCCTGTGGCAAAAATTTCCTTAAGCTTCCAGGAATCAGGCATTGGGGACGGCTTCACTTTATCTTTGGAAATGGTCATGATGGTCCCGTCATTGAGAATCGCAATGATGAGAACCATGAAGGGAGAGAAGTCGAATTTCCAGATTAGGGCAATCAACATGAAACCAAGAACGATACGGATTGTTATGGAAACTGCATAAATTGTGTAATTCTTCATCCTCTGGAAAATGGCTCTGCTTGTCAACACGGTACTGACAATCACACTCAGACCTGGTTCTGTCAGGACTATGTCAGACGCACTCCTGGCTGCATCTGTCGCATCAGCCACTGCGATTCCGATGTCTGCTCTCTTCAGTGCTGGGGCATCGTTCACCCCATCCCCAGTCATGCCACATATGTGCTTTCTCTCTTGCAGTTTCTTCACAATCTCATACTTGTGCTCTGCATGCTCAAGCCTAGCTTGTTAGAATTCAACAATTGATTTTTTATGTAGAATATGTAGCTCTTAACAGTTTTCTTTATCAAACCAAACCCACTCACATTTTTTACTTTTTATATAAATTTTCTTATACTCGAGAACAGGGTGTATTATTAATAACTCCCTCCGTCTCACCCCAAAAGGCACTCTTGCGTTTTGGAGGGATTTAGGTTAATTTTAGAAGTGATTGAAAAGATACGGGTGGACAGGGTTAAACAAGAAAGAGAGTGCAAAAGTGATTTAAAAAGTAAGAGAAAAAGTGTAAAAGTGGTTGAAAAAGTAAGGAAGAGAATGTAAACGTAATTGAAAAGATAGAAAAAGTAATTGAAAACATAAATTAGTCGTGCAAAATTTAGTAAGTGTGCCTTTTGGGTAGGACAACTAAAATGGCAAGAGTGCCTTTTAGGTAGGGCAGAGGGAGTATTTTGTACCTGGGAAAACTCCGGCGAAGCCATCAGCCCTCTCAATGAGCTCCTCAACCTGAAGGTTCTCAATGTTTTCTCCCTTGTCACCACCCAGGAGGGAGGAAGAAGGATACATGTTAGTCCCCATCCCTAGTCGTCGCCCTGTCTCCTTAGCAATGGCTAGCTGATCCCCCGTGATCATCTTCACGTTGACACCAAGGTGCAGTGCACGCTTGATTGTTTCTCCACTGTCGTGTCTTGGTGGATCAAACAGAGGCAAGAGTCCTACTAATTGCCATGGACCTCCCTGGCTGTCCTTATTCTTTTCAGGCACTTCTTGTTGACAGACAGCAAGAGAGCGAAGGCCGCGATCTGCAAACTTGTCGATGATCGAATGAACTCTTCTTTGTGCATCGTCATTCAGGCCACAAAGCTCAACAATCTAATATGGAGTACAAAAAAATATATACATACAGAGAACTTATTATCTCTTCTTAAAAAGATAATAAACCATCTTTGGTTACCAAATGGAGCCTATATTAGTATACACAAACTACTAAAAGCTAAGCTTCTTAGAACATTAAAGTTCACCTGTTCTGGTGCACCTTTGCTTGCCCTATGCCAATTCCCACTGGAGTCTATGTACGTGATAGCGGTGCGCTTGTCCACTGGATTGAAAGGTAGGAAGTGCACCTCCTGGATGCCTGCCCTAGCCTAAGGTATGTGTACAGAACGATAAGGAACCCATTGAAACTATCACTAGTAATATTTAAGTGCACTTAGCTGAAGTGTTGGATTGTTGTATTGTACCTCCTTAGGATCAGCCAGCATTCCAACGATACACGCATCAATGGCATCCTGATTCTCCACCCTGGACGCCCTGGCCGCAAGGACCATGACAGCATCCTTATCGATACCCTTAGTGAAAACCTGCACCAGTAAGAAACATCTAACATGGAAACTTCGTATCAGGTATGGTCACTACATGTAATATGTTGTTCAATCAACCTCAATAAGACTTTTGTCAACAGTGAGCTTGTTAAGGGTGAGAGTTCCAGTCTTGTCACTGCAAAGGACATCCATTCCGGCCATCTCTTCAATTGCAGTCATCCTCTTGGTGATGGCACCTTGCTGGGACAGACGGTGAGAGCCGATTGCCATGGTCACTGATAAGACAGTGGGCATGGCAATTGGGATCCCTCCAATTAGCAGAACCAATAGATTGTCAATGCCATCTCTGTATCTTCTGTGCTGGATTGGGTACATCACCACTATCTCTACCACAATCCCCACAGCTATGGAACATATGCAGAAGTTTCCAATGGAAGTCAACACCTAAATAAGGTTTTGAGAAAGAAAAGAAAAAAGTTTTCAAACACATGGAACTACAAAAGCTTCACTGCTTCACAATAAAAATATATGGAGTAGTAAGAAATTCACCTTTTGGAAGTGACCAACTTGATTGGTGCTGTCAACAAGATGTGCAGCTTTACCAAAGAAAGTATGGAGACCAGTGGCAATAACAACAGCTTCAATTTCACCCTGTTTACATGTGGAGCCAGAGAAGACTTCATCTCCTGGATTCTTGGTGACGGGCAAAGATTCTCCAGTCAGGGAAGATTGATCGATCTTGAGAGGATCTCCTTCAAGAAGTCGGGCATCTGCAGGGACAATGTCTCCTAGTTTTATGCTGATTACATCTCCAGGCACAAGGATTGCAGCTTCTTGTTCACTCCATTTGCCATCTCTCAACACCTTCATCCATTCACATGTTACAATTAAATTAACTAGCCTGGCCTGAGATATCCGTCATTTTTTTAAAAAGCAATTCAATCCTCTTAATTAAATCAATTGACATATGATTACTTTAGTCTTAGGTGCAAGTCCTGCCATTAGAGCAGCAGCAGCATTGCCTGCATTGTTTTCCTCAATGAAGCTGACAGTAGAGTTTATGATCAGCAATAAAAGGATACCAATGAAATCTTGCCAATCCATGGGCTTGCCCTGTAAAATAAAAAGTATGATTTAAATGATGGTATAAGCATTCATGCATTCCATATACTCGAGTGAAGAATCATCGGTACGTAAGAAATATATAAATTAAAGTTGCTAACCCCTCCATGAGCCAGACCAATGGCAATGATGGCTGCACTCTCCATGACCCATGATAACGGATTCCACATAAACCCCAAGAACTTCAAAACCTTGCTTTCCTGTCGCCACAATATAATAGTGTAATAATACACCCTAGTATAAATGTTCTTAATAAGCTTGTTGAATCAAAGAGATTGTAAGGACCGTGCGCACCCTCACCCCTACCACATTAGTACTATATTGATATGATAAGTAAATTTTGGTTAAGCCTTCAACGATTGTTTTGGGCACCTCTCAAAAGTTCTCATACTAATAAGTTGACTCGAACTTCTCAACCTCTTTTTCCAAGAGTGTGTTAACGGTTTAATATCCAACAAACCTTCCTCAAACCAGAACCACAAAACTCGTGACGTCCCTCCAGTGATTATCTATTTTTTATTTACCCACCATCTTGCACTGCCGCAACAACCCTTTAGGACACGCCACCCGACCCCTTGTTCAACATGTAGTGTAGAAATTTTATGATAATTGAACTTGAATGATTTCATTAAACATAAACTCATTGTTTCTACAAACTTAACCTAACTACGAGCCCAATATCTCAGCCCATTATTAAACCCTAATACGTACATCAGCTAATAATACGAAATCAGTTCTGTTCTAATAAAATTTTACATGCTTTTGGAGCAACCATGGAAAGCTCAAACCCTAGTTTGCTCTCATCTGTCGCTTCCTCCGTTGCTGTCGCAGGTGGTTTGCCCTTTGACTGTGGCATCACCGTCGGTTCTCATTCACAGTTGTTTTCCTTGTTCTTTTTCTTTTTCCGTCGTTTGGCCTCCATTAGCCAACAGCCTACTGCCTTCGCCGAGCAAAACTTGAGAAGGTATGATTGTTATTCCAGTCATGCCAAATCAGGGCATGGTTGGGTTTTTAACAAAGTTCACAGAATTTCAAAACACAGGCAGTGGAATTCAGTCTGTCGCTTGCACTTGTGTCCGTTGCTGCTTCGTTTGTTTAATCCGCCGCTGAAAGTGTCTTCTCCGGCAAGTCATAATTGTGCTTCAGGCTTTTGCTAATCGATGTTTGTTCTCCATAATGACAGTTTGGTTTTGGAAGTGCAATTATAATATTTATTTACAAACACAGTAGTGTTCATTCCAAGTTTTAGCTTTCACAAGCGTACGACGCCACCTCCATTGTCACTGTCAATAGAATTCACCGTCGTCGTCTATGGTGAGGTCGCCGCAGCGCGCTTCCCTTGGATCGACGTAGCTCTACTCTCGTTCGGTCTCCCACCGATCAGCTCTTCTCCAGCACCGCATCGCGTCTCATTTATTGGGTATTGCGATTGTTCTCTAATCGACGAAGGTCGAAGCTAGGGTTTTCCATGCTCCTCGTTTCCGATCGTGCGCCGCGTCAATTCGCCGGTTCTACCGGAAATATACGGCAGTATGATATACCTTGAGTTTAATTGGGTGGTGCATTTGGCCATTTGGTTGTGTGCCTATTTGCTTGAGTCCCCAAAGTGTTTAGTTTGGTATGTTTTGCTTTGTTCATACTCCTTTGGTCCGCATTTAAATTTTTTATTTGACTTTTGGTAACCAAAATTTGTAATCTCTAATTCCCACATGCAAAAATATAGTGTTTTGATATAAATGTAATACTCCTATCAATTGTCTTGTTTTGAAACATATTTGTAAAGCATTAATTTTTTTAAAAAATATGTTTATGTATAAATATCAATATCAATGATCAAAATGTTACATTAGATACTCTAAAAAGTCAAATGAGGAGATTGAATCCAGACGGATGGAATATATCGGAAGAAGGTTAAGGTCTGATTTATTGATAATGTTTTTTATGACATAGTATTTGGTTGTGTTTTTGTATGTCAAATTGCAACCAGCCGTATGTTTGGCATGTTAGTTTGTGAGGATAATCGCACAGTCATACTTTAGTTCGACAACAATGTATGTTTACTAGTCATCCCGCGTGGGTCATCAAATTTGGATGTTAGTTTTCTTGGGCACACACCTTTGTTGTTGCAGCAAATCAAGTCTAGTTCGAATTGTTTGTCGAAGTTCTTTTGTGGAGTCGTAGTTTTTATTTGATATTATCCAAGTTGTTCATTTGTAATCCTCATGCGTCAACTTGAGGGAGAATGTTAAAATGTATTTGAGATTTGTGTTACTAGACCCGCTAGTAATGAGCCCATAGTTAGGGGTCATGCTATGTCGCTATTATAAAGAGCAAGTTTATATTTAATGAATGATTCAATTCAGTTCTAATAAAATCTTACATATAGCATGCGTCAATCGTAGATCTCCACTCCAGTAGGTTGCAGATCTCCTCTAGTTCTATTCCAATTGGCACACTGAAAAGTCTACACAAAACAAGGCACCATCCGCAAATCTCCTCCAATCTTGTTCGTGTTGACTTACCACTACACTAAGAACTCTATGAAACCCAAGACACAATCCAGATATCTCCTCCAGTCCCTATCATATCGATTATCGTCACTCCGAGAACTCTGCACGTCATAATTCGCACTCTTGCTCACTTCTATTGTTATAATTCTTATAATTATTAATATTACTATTATTATTAACTTGACTTGCGAAAAACAAATGAATATCATCACTCTCGCTATTTATCACCACAATGAAAGAACCATCACCATCTTTTTTGACTTTCCATTTGTCACTTGTGCCCTCCTAAAGGCCTTTAGTCATCTCTCATCATTTTGCAACGACTCTGAATATATCTATTCTCACCACAATAGTAACACTCCATGTTACTAAAATCTCTCTACTAAGCCTAGATTTGATCATTCTCTTGGTACATCTCTTTTTCTCTCTTGGTTCCTCCCTCTCTCCGCACCAACCGCAATACTGGTGCCTTGCTATTGCCTGGGGGAACGAAAACCATCTTGTGACATCATCTTCTCATTCTCCATCAATATCACCATTGCCTTATCTAGACTAACCTTAGTCCTCCCAATAAGAAAAGTTTGTACAATATGTAAATATATCTTTGAGAGTGATGCTAACAACAGATATAAAGCTTGCTCGTGATCAGATATCTTCTGATTAGCAATTTTCACTTAACACACTAGTTGATTAAAATTGTTGATAAGATCTCAGAATATTGTACCCCATCTTAAGAAAGAATATTTGTCAATCTTTGATGCAATATGTACTTTGTATCTTTCCAACAGCTTCTTTGGATATATGATTGTCAATGGATAACTAAAAACCTAATTGTCGTTCGCATCCTATCCTTTTAAACAGGAATAGTCTGCATCCGATTTAAATGGATATTATCCGTATCCGATTAAAGTCATTCAATTACTAAACGAATATGAATTTCGTAATTGTATATCTGATCTGTTTAAAATTGATCTGGATATACATCCATTTAAAGAACTTCATATCCAAATATCCTTTTATCCGAAAACCGAATTAAAATTATTTTAATACATATAATCATCTATCCAACCCATTATTCATTTATACTTGGACCATATACCGAAAACTATACATTACCCTTTAAGTCTCTAACCTTAGTGTCTTACCATTGCTTACATAAAGTAGTTGGTCGATTATGAATTTATATTTTTGTTCGAATCATTTGCTTTGGTTAAGTATTTACTATTTAGATGGTAATTTTTTTACGTAGTGGACGTTGTTCAGTATTATGGATTTTGATATTCACTTTCACATTCCTTTTATAACCAATTGATTTTTTATCAACAATTTTAGACATACAAGAATATTCTGAAAACCAGACCGAAAGCTGAACGGAACTAGCAACTAGGTCAAGGGTCAACTGGTCGAACTAGATTGACTTAGGTCGGTGACCCATAGCTTGGTATAAAATCTTCATATTTATGTTTAAATAAAACAAATTTGCCATGTTATTTGAACTACATTTAAAGATAATAAAATATCATCACATAACATAAGTATGCCTATAATTATAAATATAATGAAGTTTATTTAAATAAAAAGTACAAAGAATTATAGTTAGATATAGCTTATTTTGTTAAAAGAATTGGAACACGACATGTGTTAAGAAACAATTATATACTATGTACTGCTTACAAATGTCAAGGGTTTGATTTAAGCCTGATGGCTACAATAAATTTTAAGATTAGAGGTGTTGGGTCTGAATCCCCCCACCCCCATCTTACATTTTTGTTTGTCAAAATTAAAACAAAGTGGTTTCGGTCTATAACTCACTGCGAAGCCGAGTTGATCCAGCCCACGGGTCACTTTTTTGGTCGGTCGGGCCATCCAGCCTGATTCGATATTAAAAGCATTGATATTCGGTCGGTTTTGGATATGTAGTTGGATTTGAATACGTATGCAGATTTGGATATTCCATATCCGTCACAGATATTGTCTGTTTAGAGCCCTATAATTGGATATGACTCTACCAAGTCATTATACTTGATCTCTAGAGCTATAGCTAAATGGAGAACACAAACCACCTTCTACTGCATTGATGCCCATTGAGCATCATTTATCTCCACACACTTCTCCTCCTCTATATCATCATCTAGATTTTGTTGAACCAACAAATCTTCAAGGGTATTCTTACTCAACATTGAATTCATTTTTCATCAAACAAAGAAATGTCTAGTTTCTGTGTGTTGTCCATCATTATTTCTTTTTATTTTTGATACAAAACCTCCCCCACTTAGTTCACAAAGTTAATATTTCCTTGCACAAATAATAAACCTAGCTATGATATGATACCTATTGTCAGAAAAAATTATTGAAAATGTACAACTCACTCAAAATATTAGACGAAAATAATGTGCACAAATAATAAATTGAAAAAAGATTTTTATGTTAGAACCCCCTTCCAAATAAAGGGATAAGTTTTACTTTTTGAGATTAAACTTTTCACTATAATATCAATTAAGATAAAGAAACATAAATAAAATTGATATTCTCTCCAACACAATAAACTCAGCACTTTCTCACTTTCACCTCTTTATCTGTCTGTTTCCATTCTTGCAAATGAATGGCTTTTTATAGGTAACTCAATTTTAATCAAAGGAAAAGAATTGAGATAATTATATGACTTTTATTTCATGCACCTACAATATGCCATTATCCAATGAAATCATTTTTCCTTTCTTCATTTTCACTTACAACCACTCCCATTATTATTATTATTATTATTATTATTATTATTATTATTATTGTTATTATTATTATTATTATTATTATTATTATTATTATTATTATTATTATGTTTTGTTTTCTCTTCTCAAACTAAACATAAAATAGATTTTAGCATAATTATTATTAGGCAATTGAGAAGGTATCTGAATAAACAACAACACTTATAATGGATGGGAGATTATCAAATTGAGTAATATAGAAGTTACATGCCTTTTTCTCTTCAAGTTTGTTCTGACCAAAGACATCAAGCCTTTGTGCAGCATCCTCGGTCGTCAACCCCTCTTTAGTGCAACGTAGTTGTTGGAACACCTCATTTATTGGGATCCGTTCCTGGACATACATTATATTTTACACCACAAAAAAATACCAAAATAAAAATCTTCTCATAAATCATTTTGTAATTATTTTACAATTGATTGTATGCATTAGTTTATGCTTCTTTATCAATTAAGTAGATCATTTAGCTAATCGATGATGATATAATAAGTTCTTATATAGGAGTATTCAGTACTTAATTATTAAAAAAAGGAAATGGTAGAAAGCGTACAAGATCGACATTTTCGTTCTTAATGTCTTCCAAGGTGATGTTTGATGCCATGATGTTTTATTGCCTTTAAGGCTATATATTGAAATAAAGATATCAATGTAGTATAATGTAATGTGTTTGAATACTAAGAACAAATCACTTCTCTTTTAGGAAACGGAATATATCAAACATAAGAGAATTGAATTTGATTTCTAGCTTTTGAAATGAGCTTTGGGAAACACTTAGGTTGCACTCGCATACGAAGAGATTGATGGACCAATATGCCTATTTGTTTTTGTAATTTATTCTCTTTTATTAATTAAAATTATAAATTTTTAAATATGAATTATATATACTCCATATATATAATGTTGTATTGTTATGGTGCTTGATTTTAAGATTTGATGTGATGAAATATGCATGTGCCAAGTAAAGGGAATGAGTGAAGGAGCGAATCTTGTTTCTTCTTGTTCACTCTCTTACTATTGGTGCGCTGGTTCTATTATTTTGTCATTTCTTGCATGGCCTACTATAATATAGCTTCACGTTTTAAATGACATTTGAATTTAATTAATTTACTTTTTCCCTAGTATTTATTCCTTTATATATAAATTTAAGACTCCAAACTCTAATGAACTGACATGTGGCATTGCTAGGAGGTGACATGTGGCATAACTAAGAGCTGACATGTGTCATTACTTATGTGGCTTTTCAA